TACGAGAGTGTGGGATTGTTTTTGCTGTCGCGAGAGAACGCGATCGAGCGTAGGGCAAAAAATTAATAACAATATCGTGCGCGCGCGGCTTTGCGGGTCACCTCCCGCAAATGATTAATGTAAAAGGCACGCGCACGCGCATTTGTGACAGTTTTTACACGTTTTATTTAAAAAAAAAAGAAACAAAAAAAAATGAAGAATAATAGAGAATATTTTTCGTGAATTACTTTCATATTCGCGCGCGTTGTTCCCAGCAATGTATGCATAGAGCAGAATGGAGGAAACTCTTGCTTACACAAGAAATCAAGAAAGAAGAGAGAGAGAGAAAGAGAAAGAAAACATACACTCGCACACCTTCGTTCTTTTCTCTCTTTTCTCTCTTTTTTTTGTTCTCGGGGCGCGAAGGAAAAGCTTTTTTTCACAAGAATCTTACGGCCAGAAACTCCTCCGCTTTTTCTTCTTGCTTGCTTCTTCTTTATTTTTTCTTCTCTTCTTTCGTTGCTGTTATGTATTATAATAATGCAGCACACAACACCCATTTTGCCACTATGCAGAATTAAAAGTAATCGTTCTCCAGCCAGGCTACGACGAGAATGCAGCCAGGGCCTCTCTTTTCATCCGTTTCTTTTTTTTTCTTCGCATTCTTTTCTTTTTTGTTGTAGTCGCTCGCCCGTTGTGTGGCGCGAAAAGATAACACTAACGTGGCGCGCGCGCGGCGCAGAGTATATGCCCGGGACCTTTTAACACCCAACTTGTCGTGTCGCGGAGATGGAGATTAATTCTTCTTTCTCGTTCTTTCTTTCTTTGCCCTACCAAACGTGTCATAATAATCCGCGCTTTTACGAGAATCTCACGACAATTAAAAAAAAAATTACATAATAGCCCCCCGCGTGAGTTTTACACAAATTTTATTTCACACGATGTTCGGACAACTGGACAAAATGTCGAATAAAAAAACAGCTCGATTCTCGCCCGGGCATCTTGACTCTCTCGCATAAAATACTTCATTAAGATGAAAGCTCTCTCTCTCCCACCCTTTCTTTTCATTTTTTGTTTTTTCCTATACACACACACGCGCGCACGCGCGTCAACACTCCTTACCAACTTTTTTGTTCGCGTGTGCATCTCTCTCTTTCTTCCTTTTCTTTTACATATAAAAAGAGAAAAAATGCGAGCGACAAATGCACGCGAATAGAGATACGTATGTGTATGTGTGTATGCAGCGCCGCCGCGTCTTTGTCGCGCGTCTCTATGTGTGTGTAATATGTAATGCAAGCGCTGACTTAGGTTTCTTATTTGTTTGCCCCCCGAGTTCTTCTCTTCTTCTCTTCAACGTTTCTTTTTTTTTTGTCCGCTGCTGCTCCGTACATAATGCATACAGTACATATACCGTATGCATTCGTCGTCGTCGTCGTGGTGATGGAAAAACAAACGCTCGCGAGTCGAGTCGCGCGCGCGCCTCCCTTTCAGCACGAATAATAGACGACACACGCGTACATTTTCCTGGCGCACACATTCGCTATTCATTTTTTTTTTCTTTTCTTTCGTTTTTTTTCCATTCCACCCACACCCCAGCGCGAGCATAGATATTTCACGTTAATATCTTTTTTCCTTTCACCCCCTCTTTAGACTCGATGCTTGCGATATCGGCGGTTAAAAAATGAATTAATTTTTAGTATTACTTGTTTTTTTTTAAGTAAATTATTCAACGGTCGAAGCGTTACACACAGGGCGCGTATATCTGCGCGAGAGCCGTGTACGCAGTGTAGTAAGCCAAGAGAGAAACGACGAAAGGGGGATCGCAACTCGGGGAGGAGGGATCGATCGATGCAGCAACAGCAGCAGCGAAAGAGAGAGAGAGAGAGCAATGAGGGCGGAGAAAAGATGGACGGTGTTATATAGCGTGGCTGCTGCTGCTGCTGCTGCTTCGTGTGCATGCTCAGTTGCCACCACGCATATGTACTATATATGAAACACACGGGGAAAGAGAGAGAGAGTACACGCGTTCACTCACTCTAACAATGGCGGATGATCGTACGCGTTGCACCTATATACTCTCGAGTAGTTCTTTATGTTTTACAATCGTAATCGTTAGTTTTTCTCGAGATGATTGAAATATTATGTAGAATTTATTATCAATTATCAACCGTTATGTGAATCGAGTTTCGCGAATCGATCGCGATATAAATTGTACACTAGTATAGTAAATACCCACTAACGATTTTCACCTCGCCTATACAGTAATTAACAATCCGTGTTGTATAGGTACACTGCCTGTGATAAGTTAGTAAGCGAGTTCAAAAGCGCCACTCGTGTATACGTGCGTGCATGTGTAACGCGACAAGCAGCTACAGCAGCCCTGGAAAGAGGCGTGGGCGTAGTATATATAGGCGTGAAACGAGCGATTTGCGCGTTAAAGCGCCTAACGCCAGTTATTCCGACTCCGCATACGGTCGTACACACATACACGCGGAATATAACGTATTACGCGTCGGGGGTCTTTATTTATACGCTGCAAAGAGTCCGAGATATATTTATATAATTTATAGACTATAGATGTGCGAAACTGCGCACGTTTTGGTGAAAAAAAAGGCTCGGCTCTAAGGTATAATAATAAACACCCGAGTCGAGCTTTAATAAACAATCGTTTAACAGAGAGAGTCGAGTAAATTTATATTACATATGTAAAGGGGGGGTCGATCCATACACGAGGCAACAAGCTCATAGCCCCAAGAGTTTAATTGCAAAAGCAGATCTCGGCGGCAGCGACGACGACGACTGGTGCGCAGCCGATAACGACAGACTCGAGTCTGTGTAACCTAATCGAACTCGAACTCGTAATTGATTGTAGCTTTCTCCATTCGTGTTTGGCTGCTACACTCGCGAACATTGTTACATATATACGACGATAATATCGTTCGTGTTTGCATGTCAAGAGAACTGCGAGTGCTCGTGAAATTGCACGTCATTTTGTGGGAATTATGTTCGTTCGAGATTCTTAATGATTTTGGTTGTAACTCTGGAAGTTACAGCGTGCTTTATTTTTAAGTCCTTTTTTTGAGATTATGGAGGGACATTTTTGAAATGTTGACCCCACCAGTAGAAAGCTGAGGTAAAATCCTATCGAAACCCTATGTTGCTTTATTTTTCTGAATTTTATTCAACCCTTTGCAAGCGAGTTGAAAACTGAGCAATTCGGCCGTTTTCGCTGCATGTGCGTGGAACATATATATCCACATTTACTGCAGATAGAACTGTCTATTTTTTTATATAGACAAAAATGTGTCTTACAGCTTGCGACTTGACGAGACGCCACCTGTCGACGAAAGCGAAAAGCTCGAAATTAAATTATAACTGTTGGTAGAATTGTTCGGGAATTATTCGTTGAATGAAGTAGCTTATTTTTGTCTACTTGGAGTATTAATCTTTAAGCTTTTTGTGTCTTCGCACAGTATTTTTTTATTTACTGTACGGAAGAACTCAATTACAATACAATTACGAAAACGAAAATTACGAAATTATATAATCTTTTTTTTTGTATATAGACAGAAATGTGTTTTGCCACTTGCGACTTGACGAAATGCCATCTACCGACAGGATCAAAAAGCTCGCGATAAAACTAAGACCGACATACGTATAGGATTCCTCTTCCAAAAATATTTATTTCGCCGTTTGGATATAGGAGAGAAGTAATTTTCGAATTTTTTTTCACGTTGACTATACGACAAGGAATCAATTACCCATACTTTGTTGTTAGGCATCGGAAAATTTATTTTTTTTTTATAAACGAAAAATCGTTTTGTCACTCGCGAGTTCACGATATGCCATCTGTCGACAATATCACAAAGCTCTTTAATCAATATACGTTAAAATTGACGAGCGAATTCCGAGCCATTAATTCTTACGTTTCTATTCTCCAATAAATCAACAAATTCCTCAAGAATCTTCGCATCAATGAAACAAATGATATAATACCACGATGGCTAATGGTCGATTATCTGCTCTATCTCGTACCTTTGGAGTCGCGATAAAGATTTCCCGGTCTCGGGACCACCGCGCCGGCTCTCAAAAAAGCTGCTCGGGGCTCTCGTCTCTCGCCCCTCGCGTACGTCTCCGTGCGTAAACCTTAGGGGTGCGAAATAAGCATTTCAAAGCCAGAGACTCTTGGCTGCTCTTGCTCGCTCGCTAATCCGCATGGGAGATAGATGTGCCTTTGATAATTATCGCGATCCGAAAGTGCGACATTTAACTCTGGTAATTTTTTTTTCCTGTCGCTATCTCTCGGTATATCTTTCTTTCGGACTAGTTTTCGTTTTGGGAAAAAAAAAAATATTAAAAGGGGGAGATGGTATATATTTTCTCAAATTTCATCGGTGCCTGCGGGGACACGCTCAGGTATATAATAATACAAAATACGTGCGGGCAAATCACATCGTCGATTGCCCTATCAATTCCGCATACATATTTATCCATATACATACTTTTATTATATACACATCTATGAATCGCGATTCATATATACATACACAAAAACCCACGCTTTGAAGCGAAGCAAAGGCAAATCAAAAGCAAAAGAAAGAAGAATAAGAAAAGAAAAGAAAGAAAAACAGCTCAAGGCGTTAGGATCGGGGCTTTTAATAGTTCTCGGGAATTCTGCATTGACATCCTGCTTACGCGCGTGTAGAGACACCGTATAATAGAAGCCAAAAACCATTACTTCTCGGGCTGGCTCCGTGTGCGCGTTATAAATGTATTGTTAATATGCATTCCGATCGAACCTTTTCCCACACATCGATTCTCATCTGCGTTTTTGTGTATATATAACGCCGCTGCTTTTTTTCTCTCTCTTCTTTTCTCTTTTTCACGAGCTATCGCTCGCGAAGAATCGCACGCCATTCGATACATAATGGGCCTTTGCCCACACACACTTTATATAAATAATATATAATATAATATAATGTATACAATAGGGGAAGAAAAAAGAGCGCGACACAACTCACCCAGCCTCTTGGAGATCTCGCTGTTGTGCATCTTGGGATTCTCGTGGGCGATCTTTTTGCGCTGCGACCTCGACCAGACCATGAAGGCGTTCATCGGTCGCTTGATGTGGTCGGCCTGGAGGCGCTTGCCCGCCGCCGCGGCGGCGGCGTTGCCCAGCGGACTGCCGAGGCCGACCATCGCCGCGACGCTGGCGGCCGTGGCGGCCCCGGGACCCACCGAGGCTGCGCCGGGCGGCGAGGCGCCCGATATGCCCTGCATGCCGCGCAGCGTCTCCTGGAACGACGCGCCGTCGCACATGTTGCCGCCGGCTCTGGAAACAAAAATCAAATTCAAATTATAAAAAAGTCTTTTGTATAATAACCCTATTACGAAATACAGCTTGTAAAGCCAAAGAGCTTCGATTTTCCAGCACACAATCGGAATTCGCTGGGTACGGAGCTTGCGAATTAATTAAAGTCTCCCCCCCCGCGACCTTTGTGCTTTCTCTCTCTCCCACATCTGCGTGCGATTATATTATATATATATTTCCTAAGCACCCAAAACTCCTTTAACGTCTCGTAGCTTTCTCTCTCTGTCTTCATTGTAGTACTACGATATGCGCGCGAATCGAACGTCAGCAACAGAGAACACTGAGAGAGAGCGGCTCATTGTGGAAAATTCGAGAGAAGCGATATGCCGATATCCGGGGCTGCTTCTTCTCTTCTTACTTCTTCTTCATCGGCTCCGCACTTTAACTCATTCTCTCCTTCGTCGTCGTAGTCGTCTTTGCGAGGGGGGAAGAGCGCGTACGACTAATAAACGCCAAGTATATAAGTATTCGCGCGACATACACAGGCTTACACGACGATATATTAATGTATTGTATAGAGATAATAACGATATGCGCGCGTGTCTCGCTTTGTCACCGCAACAATGAGAGAGGCACAAATGCGATATGCGTATTTATATACTTTTCCTTAAAGTATAACGAGTGACGAGCGATTTTTTTTTCTTCTTCTCTTTATCCTTTTTCACTTTTTTTTGTCTCTCTCCGAGAAACGACGCGTACGACGAGTGTATTGTCTTAGTCATAATAATAACAGGATTTTAAATAATGACGAGAATACATAATGAGAACCAATTGAATATTCATAGAGGAGTCTTAATCATCGGTCGCAGGTGTTAACAAACAAACGACTACTACTACTACTACTACGACGAGCTGAAGATAAATAAAAGAGAGGCGCGAGAAATCCGTCATCGAGTAAATAGATAAAAAATAGCCCGCGTGTATACCAGCGCGCGCGTTGCACAAGCAAAATTTACCTCTCGGAAACCTACCTATATGCATTATACTATTGTTGACGCGAGTAATTATAACTCGTTATAAGGATGAGATGGGCCCAATTTTGCGTAATATATATGCGCAATGACGATGATGCGCGTGCGCTGTTTGACCGAGCTTTTAGCGCGACGTCGTTAATCGACTTCTAGTTAAAAAATTATTCTAAAATTAGTCGTGAGAAACGCAGGATTACATATCGACGAATCGACGATCGCTGCCACAGCAGCAGCAGTACCCGCAGATCGCAGCGTCTGATTATATTTCACGTGCTTGCTTTTTTCAGTACGTAAGCACACAACAAGAGAAGGAAGAAGAGAAAGAAGTGCGCAGTGCTCTCCTCGAGTGCGGATCGTCGCTCGCCACACGCAGCAGCAGCACAACTATTATAAAATAAAACGACGACGTGCGCCACGCGACGCAAAATCAAAGCCATTAGCTTCTGCGCCTTTATTATATATACGTTATATCGAGACTCGTCTTACTTTAAGTTTTTTTTGAATATACCCCGCGCGCACAGCGTATTCCTTTTCTTGTTTTTTTTTTTTTTTTTTTCAATGCGAGAAAAAAAAATGTCAACCCCACGCACTCGAGGTCTATACGTACACGATATAATGCACAGATATTCTCGAGTGCGCAGTCGCGCGTGCTGCTGCTGCTGCACTCGAACTTTTTTTGTATACGATACACGCGCGTGTATATAACGCAATTATATTCGCGTGCGTTTGTGATTTTACGCGTTATATATATCGTACGAAAGCAAAAAAAAAAGAAAATAATCTATATTTAACTTTAAACGCCGATAATATTTACAAAATAATATACTAAATCACTGCGCGTACGAGAGGCAATTGAAACAACTATACGAGCGTCATTCATCATACGTACATCCTATACAAAAAAAAAAATCGCTCAGCTCCCGCTGTAAGCGCGCGGGAGAATCACGATGGTATAATATATTATTACATGCCACTTGATAAAATCAACGCTCGACGATATAGACGATAGACGATGGCATATTGAGAGCTTCGCGTACATTATATTATGCTGAGAGAGAGAGAGAGAGAGAGAGCCGCCAAACCGCACACCAGTGCGCCGTGGCAAGGGCCAGAAATAAAAGCTATCATCCCCCTCGCGGGCCTATATGACGACGACGACATCGAAAATATGCCTTAACGACATTCCACGCGCCACGGAGCAGAGCAGAGCAGCACGAGACGCGGGTTTAAGCTCCCCCACCCATCGAGTTCCACCCTCGAGCTCTCTGTATACGTATGTGTGTGTGGATGTGGGTGGGTGATCCCTGATGCTGGGACGTTGATGATGAGGGAAACCTCGGGACACGATCACTACTACTACTACTACTAGCTCGTTCGGGGAACGAGCTCGAGCGGCAGCAGCGCTGGAGGAGCCAAAAGTGCTGGAAGTAATGACTGCATCGGGACGCGCTCGCTCGACGCCGCGCGCGCGGGGGATGGATGGATGGGATGTATTACACGCGGCGATACATATTGTAGGGGATTAGGAAGTGCTAATTGAATGTTTAGTTGGCCTGTTGGTGTATATACACGATATATAGATAGATAGATTATATCGCTGCGTAGGCTGCAAACAAATTATATCGCGTGGGTACGATAAATCTCTGCGCAGCAACTATGAGCTTTACGAGGAGGTCAATCGAATTTTTCGGGCTTTTATTATTGTCGCACACGCATATGACGTACGTTGATGTATATTCGAGTGTGGAAAAACTCATGAATCTCTTGAAGCTTATACAGTTAGAGTAGTACACACACTGGACTGAAATATAAGCTGGACGCGATGCAGAGATCAACACGTGCGAAAACGCGGTATATACGGTGGCGATGTGCTGCGGAATTTATATTTAGGGGATGATGATGATGGCGATGCACGCATCTGCGGTAAGTTGAGACTCTCGACTATGAGAGTAATGTGTTGTTTTTGGCAAGTTACAAAAAATGTATATTATGGTAATCATCGATATACTTATCGATCATATTACTTTTTATTATACGGATCGAGAGAAAATGCACAATTTCTTTCGTGACTATTGATGGACGCGTCGCGCGACACAATGCGTGACACGAAAAAAGAGTGTACTACACAGTAAATACAAATCTTTATTCCGTTTAAACTCGTCGGATCCCCGAGTGGGTCAATTTGTCAAAACTGCCTTTACAACGCGAACGATAATTTTCTAGTAACTCAAGTTAAATAAATATAAGAGAGAAAGAGATGAAAATCGGGATACGTGATTGGACACGCGCGTAACCGGGGTCACCACCGGAAATCTGGAAATTAATGAATCGTTACCTCGCTCTTCGTACAGCGAACCAGAGAGACACGAGCATTTACAACTTTCGGTGAAATTTTTCTTCGATTTGAGTAAAACAAGAAAAAAACAAGCAAGAAGAAGAACTAATGAAAAAGGATGAAGAGCCACCGAAATGGCGAATTAGACAATGGTATAAAGTAATTTCGTTTATATATACGACTTCCACGAAAACTTAATTGTGTCGTACATCCTCGCAGCTTGTCTAATAAAATAGATATATAGAGAAAGAGAAATAAAATTCGATAAATTAGCCCACCAACGTCACCGCAGCAGCGGCAGCAGCAGCCTAGCAGAGAGCTTCAAGCCTTTCACTTGGCTGCACTTTATATTGCCGCACTCGATCCGTCGGACTCTCTATAACTCTCCGCACTCGGAGTCTTTTGACCAAAGCTATGTCTATGTCGCACGTGCGTGTGTGCCAAAGAAAGTATATAGGGTCACACACACGCACACGAGGAAAGAACGTTTACCCTCGACAAATAAGGCCAGCATCAGCAGCAGCGGCGGTGTGGCGAGCAGCAGCAGCAGTTCGGGGGCTCTTTACGCACCTCGTAAATTTTGCCTCGACGATGTGTGCGCTCGAAACCCTCGAGCGACCAAGAGAGAGAGTAATATGTGTCCAAGAAATTAGTCTCCCGTCTTTTTCCGCTCGCAAGCTCTACTACTACACTCACTCGTATTATGTGTGGTATTCGCACGCTGTCACATCCGACGTATCGATATGTACGCGAACGAGTTTCGATTATCAATTGTGTATTCAATTATGTATAGATCCGATCTGCGCGTTTCTCGATTTATCAATAAATATATAAACGGCCCCGATGGGATTAGATTATGTGTGTGTGTGTGTTGAGTACACACAAACGCACAGGACAGAGATCGTTTTGATCGATACACAACAATGTTATGTTCGTCGCTCCACCCACTCGGTGCGTCCATCATACGGAAGTCTCGCGTACAAACCCTACCCGCAATTGAATGGCTGATCCATGATGATCATTGTGTTAGATACACGATTACGCGTTTGTGTGCGTGTGTGTTTGTTTGTCGACTAATGTACAATTGGAAGAGCTCGTGTGCTCGTAATAATTGGGGATTACTCGAAACTATACGCTGCTCGAAAAAAATTACGTGAATTAATCGATCGCAACGCGATTTTCTATAACTAATGACATTTTCATCGTCCCCTAGAGCACGCAAAACCCTTTCGGCATTAAATGCCAATATATATGAATATCCCAAGGCCTCGAAGCTACCGCTGCTCGTGCTGCTACTGCTGCAGCTCGTGCGTGTGTGTATCGCCCTTTTTTTTCACTCGATCTTTATACCAATTACCCGCGCGCGCGGCGGCGCTTACTCTCTCTCTCTCTCTCAAAAGTGCAATGTCCATAAAGTCGACACTAATTGGCGACACACTTCACTGTGTGTTACGTACGTGTATGTGTGTGAGTGTACTGTATACGTGTGCCACTTTGCTCGCTCTTATTTTCTCTCTCTCTTTCTTTCGTACAATGAATTCGTTCTCCACGCACCCGACTTTTTTTTTTAAACTAGATATAGATGCGAGAAATTAATTTTGCACTGACCGCGAGGTGAACAATTTAGCTTCTACTTTACTCTATGATTATTTTGACATGGCCCTGATTCGATACGTGTGTATATATTAAGAACGTGTGTGCGTGTATAGGCGCACTAACTGCTGCTGCAGCAGCACGCGCTCGATGCGTATATTTCAAAGGTCCCATCAAACTCGTTTCATATGATAATTTTTTCGTATACGTCATGCGTGTGTGTGCGACTATAAACATCGAGAATGAGACAAGATGCGCCGAAAAAGGGTGGAGGGCTCGAAAGAGAGAGAGAGAGAGATATCGTAACAGGTTGCCCTGAATGTGTGTAGTCGTCACTCTTGCACCTGACGCGCGCGCGCGTCACTCACCGAATTGAATCGACTCGACTTTTACGATACACGCGCCGTACGTCGATATTATTTTTTCATTTTTTTTTGTTTCTCTTCTACCGTGAACAAAATGAACTAATTATTATTGTTTTGTCTGTCGATCTGAAAACTTACCTCATGAAGTGGCCGGCGGCTCGTTGGTGCAAGTCCAGCTCAATCGTTTTGCCGTGATTGAGACCGTGATGGGTCTCGGCGCCGTACAGGTCGAACAGTTTCGCGACTTTTTTTTACTACTGCTACTACTACTACCACCTAAGACGAGATGGCAACGAGATCGAGCACTCGTGGAGTCACTTTACTTTTTCCTTTTTTTTTTTTTGGTCACACCTCGACGATTCGACGACGGCGGAGTTTACAAAAATTTGTTTTAGTAATCTTTTGTCGTTGTAGCACGTCACTTTGATTCACTCACAGGTTATTATTATTTATCATCGAAATGTATAAATATTATGTATCATGTTTTTTTTTTGCTTTGATCAACTCAACCGAACGATCGTCATCGAGAGTAAACAACAAATAATTACACACAAATGGTTATTATTACTATTCTCGGACGAACGAAACGTGTATAAAAAAAAAATTCGCACCCTCGAACACACTATGCATATAATGCAATAATATGTACTTTTGTAACCGCACGGGGTATGCTGTCAGTTTGGCTGGCTTTAAATGAGTGAGCCCGCGACGACCGCACACACAGGGGACCCTCGACTTCTGCTGCTGGCTTCACGGCCCGATAACTGACGAGCAGTCCGCTAGGTGCACAGGCACGGCACACGGAGCGGCGGTGGTGGCGGCGGCGCATGCTCGGCCCCGCGCCAAAGTAAACTTAAGGAGGCAGTGGTGCAAGAGGAGGGAGGTGGAGTGGCGAGAGGGGGGGATAAACGCTCGGGTCACCTAGCAGCCTCTCGCCGGAGGAATCGTGTATGCGCGACGCACGCGAAGGAAGAGAAGGGATGGGAAGGGAAGGAGAGGGGCGGACAGGTGGGCGTGGCTTTGGAGGCAACCATTGGCGGCATTCTCGCGACGCGAACTTCGCAGCTTCGATGGGAGAAGGCGGGGTATAAAAAAAGCGCGTGCCAGCATGGTAGGGCAATATTGCTCGTCGCATTTTGTTTCTCTCTCTTTCTCTCTCTCGCGCTCTCTAGCTCTCTGTGCTGAAGTGTGAGCTCGTGAGCAAAACACCTCGCTCTAGCTAGCTAGCTAGCTGCTGCTGCTGCTGCTGCTGCTGCTGCACCGAGCCCAGAAAATGCCTATACACACGTAAATAGGGTGAATTTAATTGTACTCAAGGAGAGAAGAGCGAGAGACGCGTGCGCGACGATGGTTAGCAACCGCGACACCCGCACAACGTGCACAACGCGAAAGAAGCTGGTGAATGTGTCTGTACGCGTGTACGAATGACGATGAAAAAGAAAAATATTCGCGTGGGCTGGGAGAGGATTCCATAAGCTAATGAAGAAAAGAAAGATTTGGTTGCGTAGTATCTCGATACAAATATTTTAGTTAATAAATATTCAGTACTTATACGATTATTGTTACGTTGCCACTTGCAGATTTACACATATAAAAGCACTCGCCATCTAGAGGCAGAGACTGGCTTTAATTATGATTGAGTTTTCATAAAGTTTTTGTTCACCTACATATATTTTTTAGAATTTTTAGTGCAGCTGTTTATATATAAAAATATAAATCAGTACTGTTACATTAGCTACTGTTGTACAAGTACTGTTATATTATGTTACTGTTACTGTATACATTTTCAATAAATTTGAGTTAAATATGCATTATATTCGTAAGGTTTTTTTAACTTTCCTTTAAAAATATCATTATCATTAAAAATTAATGTTTTAGTGCAGATTTTTCTATCTCAAAAATGTCATGAAACATCGGATGAAATTACATCACCAGTAAAGCTATCCTCCAACACTAGATGGCGAACAGAACATTTTTTCCTCCCTATTTCTCTTTTGTATGAACATTTTAATTCTTTGATCTTGATTATGAACTTAATTCAATTGGATTTTACTCTAAAAATATAAAAAATGACGAATAACTATATAAAAAAATGTAAAATAAGGGGCAGCTTTTTTCTTCCTCTACCTACAGTGTTCCAATCCTATATACAAGATTCAACATTAATTTTGATTGAATCAAATTACTATGATGGCAAATTAATTCGAACTCGCGTATATTAATATTGTTAATTTTTTACATAAACAGATGTGAATAACTAATCGATTCAATTGGAAACAACGTTCAAAGTTATTCGCAACATCGAAGCTCGTTTACTTTTTTCAGTGCCTCAACGACGAATAATCGCTTTGCTTTGCGCCTCGCCTCGCAAAACCCGAAACGATTTCTCGAATTGTTCCCTGCGCAGTCGGGCTTATTGCCCGGTAATACAGCTATTATGCTGCACGACGATAACCACCTACTCGTGTTTATGTTTATGCGCACGTTTGTCAATGCCCCCCGTAAACATATATGTGTGCGTCACGTCGTTTCTGAACACACGAGTTACGACGCGCGCCAACCCCCGCGCGCTTCGCTGCCCTTGAAAAATCGGCTTATGCGCAAACTTGTCGCGCTGTGGTGCGTATACTTAACGTGCAGTTGGTTCCAGGTACAAACGTATAACGTTTTCACCTATCGAAAACGACGCATCTGATCCCCGGCTTAATTAAAGCGGACGTATGCGCGCTTAAAAAAAAAAGTTGCTACCGTGCGCGCGCGCAAGCGTTTACGCTTTCGGGTGGGTGCACCCTCGAATCGCATGGCCATAACGTATGAAAAAATCACAGGTCTATGAATTAAGTCTACGACGACAGAGTAGCAATATATTATAATGAATGGGACAGGTAAAAAAGTTTACGCGTATTATGCATTTAAACGTTCTTCTTTATTTGAAGTAATTTAAATAATTTGGTTTACAATCAATGAAACAATGTGTTTCATTTTTCTCAAAACATTTATTGATATTTTAAGGCATTAACATGGTTTTTATAAAATGATATAATATTGAAGGTATTCAAAATATTATTATACATGTAACTTTTTAATTTAGTCTTCTTAATGCTTACTTTTAAATTTTATACGTTAATCAAGCGAGTGGTGTACTTTATAAAGGTGTTTTTTCAGATAACTCTTACATGAAAATGTCTTTCCACAAGTATCACATCCATGAGTGATTTTACTATGCACCGCCTCGATGTGGGTTTTCAGATTACCCTTTAGAGTGAATGTTTTCCCACAAATATCACACGAATGCGTGACACTATTGTGCACCGTATTGATGTGGACTCTGAGACTACTCCTATCTGAATACTTTTTTCCGCATCTATCACATGAGTGAGTGACACCATTGTGCATGGAATCGACGTGAGTTTTGAGATTACTCTTACGTGAAAACTTCTTTCCGCAAGTATCACATGCATGTGTGACACCATTGTGCATGGAATCGATGTGAATTTTGAGGTAACATTTTTGCGAGAATGTCTTTCCACAAATATCACACGAATGCGTGACACTATTGTGCACCGTCTTGATGTGGACTCTGAGACTACTCCTATCTGAATACTTTTTTCCGCATGTATCACATGAATAAGTGACACCATTGTGCACCGTCTTGATGTGGACTCTGAGACTACTTCTATCTGAATACTTTTTTCCGCATGTATCACATGAGTGAGTGACACCATTATGCATGGAATCGACGTGAGTTTTGAGATTACTCTTACTTGAAAACTTCTTTCCGCATGCACTACATGCGTGTTTGACACCATTGTGCATGGAATCGACGTGAATTTTGAGATAACCTTTTTGTGTGAATGTCTTTCCGCAAATATCACATGAGTGAGTGACACCATTGTGCACCGTCTTGATGTGGACTCTGAGACTACTCCTATCTGAATACTTTTTTCCGCATCTATCACATGAGTGAGTGACACCATTATGCATGGAATCGACGTGAGTTTTGAGAGTTCTCTTACTTGAAAACTTCTTTCCGCATGCATCACATGCGTGTTTGACACCATTGTGCATGGAATTGACTTGCCTATCCAGGCTACTCTTGTTTGAAAATTTCTTGCCGCATGTCTCACATACACACGTTTTATCATCGTTTACCCTACCGAGATATGTTTTGAGGTTATGTAAATTGCCAAGTTCACAGTTGAGATTCATACTCATTTTTTCTGCATCGTCATCAAAAATTTCCTGTTTCACTTCACTCACGGTTTCCATTTTAACATTGGGCTTGACATCTTCACATTCAACAACTATTTCTATCTCGTCATCGCGTCTACTTCCGGGATTCACATCACATTTTCTATGGATATGGGTCTGTCAAAAAATTAAATTCTAGTTACACATAACTGTAATACATTTACATACAGTTACATTAATACAATTATTGACACTTACTGAGCCTTGGAAGTTTGTAGTTCGTCATTCGTTTCCCAATTATCATTGGGTTCCTGCTTGACACTTAGAGAAGCACAATTTTCCATTTTTGTTGCATAGAATTTTACTAAAACTTAACCTCGCGGGAGAAAGATTGGAGAAGTGCTCGCATAAGCTGTGTCTACGCGACGACCGACAGCTCGTACTGGATCAGCTCTGCACTGCACAGTCCTCGCTCGTGAAGTAGCGCTGTCGTGCGGCGATGCGCGGCAAAACTCGCGCGGACAGGTCATGCATGCGACACAACAAGCGCGCTACGTAAACAACAGAACGAGGAGAGCTACGTATATCGACGGTCCCCACGAAGAGTAACACGTTTCCATTTAAATTAACACACAAACGTGTTACTCTTCGTGGGGACCGTCGATATATACTTAATTATTCAAGAAATTGCACTATGTATCACATGTCAAATAAATGAAGAAAATTTTTCGATCGTGACGCAACGTAATTCGGTAATACACTGGTAATATTTTCAATGAATGTTTGTACTTTCATGACCTTTCATATTATATTTTCTTTAATGTTACAACAATTACTCTAAAATTAATATTAAAATTAGAGAAATAGAACAAATTAAAATAAAAGTATAAGTACACCGCGAATTTACACGACCAATATGCAAAGTTATAGGTAAAAATTTGAATAATGCTGGTATTTCATGAAATTTATTTACGATGCTCGAATTGAAAATAACGGATTACGATTGAAAAGTGCGCAAAGTAGGCTATCGTATACGTCGCAATTATTTTAGTCTTAAGGCACGCAGTCGTTTATAAGTTTCCGCTAGATGGCGATGACCGAATTTCGAAAAGCAAAAGAGAAAAGGTAAAGTTTTAACATTATGTAGGAGTTACTATCACTTATTATTATCAAATGGTATCATCTGTTTTATGCTACGGTATTGATACATAGATTTGAGGTTTTTTTCATTCATGAATATGCCCTAATCAACACCGAAAACGTCGAAAAGTTCGATCAAACAGATACTCGGGCGGTCGCGTCTAATTCTTCGATTGAACGTAAATAATGCCCCCCTGTATACTGTAGGCGCGCGCTCACAATGGCAAAAGCTATCGACTGCATTGCGCACACGCACACACGGACAATCGTAAATAACATAACCATATTCGCACAGACAATGGTCAGTTTACACCGATTTCTATTTACGCATCGCGTAATCGCGCGCCACGCCAAGCCAAAAAAAGGATCGGTGGGCAGCTCAACTTTATCTCTTCTCGTGCATCTGTCCTTCTTATACACATACAGACAGACATCCCCTTGTCTTTCTCTCGCTGACGCGTGTGTATATATATCTATACAGTGGCACGATCATCATCATCGTCGTCGTTGCCACCCTTGATACGTACATAAGCAACCACCGACACCGAACAATGTTGTCAGGCCGCTCTCATCGAGAGACAGAGAGAAACTTGTCGAGGCTCTCTCTCTCTCTCTCTCTCGTCAGTGCGGTATGAATATTTAATTCTCCCTACTAACATACTCCTTTTGGCCGATCGTCACGATCGCGTACCCCGCATTTATATTACGGGCGCAGCTCTCCACAATTAAATTCGGACAATATGTTTTTGTTTCGCGCCACCCTCTCAAAATGTTAAAGCCCCCCTCAAAAAAATACATATAACACACACGAGTACATATCTGAGTTATCTTTATTTCTCACTGCTGCTGCTGCTGCAAGCCCCTCGACATCGTGCTTGATTACGTATTATATTGAAACGGCTAGGTGCTAGTTTGCGATTTTTATAATGTCTATAAAACGATGTCACTTTTTTACGCTTGTATATATTTATATATATTTACTGTCCGCGGAGCATGAAATTTTTCATTTCATTGCGAAGGATCAGCGAGTGGATCTTTTTTGTCGCATTTTAGAAGCCCGATATATAATCCTCGGAAAGAAAGGAGAAAGGGTTTCGGCTTTGATTGTTCGTTCGTTGTCGTCTGAAATAGATTATTTCACAATAGACTGCACTTCTCTCGTGCGGGGCCTTGTGAATGGTTGAATACGTTGTTGTAGTTCGTTTAATAGTTAATTATGCTAAGCCGAACGCGCGGCTGGATTTTATAATAAGCTGCCCACACGATATGGTTTGGGCCCAGATTTGTGCGAGCTATGCAGATGTCCCGCAGAAATTTGTATCAATGAAATAAGCCACCGAGGCAAAATTCAGAGACTGGTGCGACGCTTAAGGAGGCTCGAGTGCGTGACGAAATATTATTAAAAATAAAAAATTTATTAAATGTATTTTTATATTCAAAAATATTTTACATTCTCCAATTAAATAATTTAATAATTGTAAAATAAAAAACATCTATTTGCCTATTTGCATCATTGTGCGTGCAGCGATCATTATAGAATACAAGTTTCAACTCTTTACATTACAATAACTTTTTAAATAGGTCGATTACCTCAGTTTTTTAATTTGCTATTCGAAAGCTTATGAGTTTTTCTTTTCAATGAAATAATATAACATTTCTAAACTCTTCCGGTTTATAATCGTGAGGAATTAAAATGTGACTAAAATTTAGATGCCTTCATAAGAGCTCATGTTGAGTTAACCAAATGTACATTGATATATCTATTAAATAAAGTCGGTTAACACATATTTTTTTACATCATCAATTTGTTTGATGATTCGCTTCTAAAAAAAAAACAAATGACTCTCACTGGGACATGTTTTACTAATTAGATATTTGAATAATCGATACCTCATTAACGATTAATGGAGTTATACATATTGTGGTATTTTAAAAAAAATTTGAGATTTTAGGTAATGCTGTGTTTTGCAGTCAGAATTTGGTGATTATAAACAATGTATTTCTCAACCATGCGGTTATTAGCGTCAAAGAAAGGGGAAAAAATTCATCTCGGCAATAAAATTATAGTTTGTTTGAAATAAAACTCATGTATTGAACAATCTAAACAAATCAATTTTTTTATTTATTAGTTAAACATCAATTCAATTAATATGCTGCCTTCAGGATTCACTAAGTTTTTCATCTCATTAGAATTTATAATTTTTGAGGCATTCTTCTTCATAAATTTTACAACTTCTTCTTTTAAATCGGGAGCATTATATGCGGTAGCTGAGCGATAAATGTTTATGGCATTTTCCGGTAAAAAGCAAGAACATAAAACTTGTTCACATTTTTTTCTTAATCCTTGAATATCATACTTATCAGCAGCACCAAGAAGTTCACAGCAAGTCTCTGTATCTTTCTTTATATCTATGATCCCAAGATATATGTATCGCAACATTTCAATCAGAACTTCGTAACGTATATCAGATATTTTTATTACATTTTCTTCATTTTCTGACATGTCCGATTTGAACATTGCAGCAAAAACTGGACTCGCCGAGGCTAGCAAGACTTTGTGAGCTGGAATGGTAGTTCCACATTCTGTACGCAGCTTGACATCGCTCAAATGTTCATTCTTAAATAAGTCGATGAATCTCATTCCAGGTAGATCCTGCACTTGCATTGGTTTCTCTACTACGAATTCACAATAAATTTTCAAGACATCGTTGTTAGATATTTTCAAGACATCGTTGTTAGATATTACTTCCTCTGGATGAAGTAAATTATAAACTGGAATAAGATCAACAGATTTTCGAAATCCAGATTTAAAAACACATCTATCTCTTGCCACAATTAGAACAGTCTTGTCCTCAACAAAAAACGAAACTTTGCAACTACATACAAACTCATCATCGTGATTATCATCACGTATCAAGTTTACTGATCTGTACTTTACCGGGTCATACAAATTTCCACTTGGCACAAATTCAAAATTAAAATAATTTTCACTTTCATCCACGTTAAATGCTGGTGAAAACTCAACCTTGTGTCTGGGATCTTTCTTATGCCTGCTAAAAGAAGTTATTTTCCACAAAAATTCACTCTTTATAGTGTTCACTCCCGTATAACGTTTTCTTTCGAAAGTTGGCATTTCGAAAATATTTAGTTGCACAATATACTCTGTGTTAATATATAATAAACTTTAGTATTAATCTTCAACTTGTTTGATTTTACTTCACGTGGGATACGATAACCTATAAAATGAATTCTACGAATAATCTAAATTCTACGAGGAGATACAAAGTGCGTCCGGCGAACGATCTCGAGAAAGGTGGCTGCGTACTGTGTAATGTGTTACTGGCTTTAGAGACAAATTGAGTCAAGAACCGCGTGTTTCTTGTCTGCGGCGCACCACTCTCCAGTCAAAAGCATGCGTGGAGCGCCACGTTGGATAGAGTTGGTAATTGAGGAGGCTCGAGCGCATGTAGCTGTTCTATAATTGAGCTCTCTACGCGGGCTTATTAAAAATAATTATATCCTTATTAAACTTGAAATATTTTAACATTTAATAATATTTTAAATTCTCCAATAAAATAAATTGATAAATTTAAGAAAAAAAATCTATTTGTCCATTAGCGCCATTTTGCATACAGCAGCCGCATCGCGCAAACATTGTAGAATACAAGTTTTCATTATTTACATTACAATAACTTTTTAAATAGGTCATTTGCCTAAATTTTTAAATTTGCCATTCGAAAGCCTATGAATTTTTCTTTACAATGAAATAATAACATTTCTAAACTATAACGGTTTATGGTCGTGCGGGATTAAAATGTGACTGAACTTTAGATGCTCCCATAAAAGCCCATGTTAAGTAAACCAACTTTACATTGAACAGTCCTTTAAATAAGATCGTTAACTTATATTTTTCTTTTGTGCAATCAATTTGTATAATTGTAAAGTATCATTTACCCAAGTTTCAGTCCCATGTCTTACAAACGTTTTTTTACTCGAGCTAGCATCTAATTGGATGATGAAAATTTCATTATGGGTACTTTCGGGGAATATTTTATTTTGAAAAAAGAACCATCGTCCCAATTTATAGTTTCTAAATCGAATCCCACGTCTCGACGCACGGTGCAGTACGTTCGTCAATCACCTCAATCTAAACTCTCATCGGTTTATTGTCTCTCAAACTGTCCATACGATATACACATGTACACGATTTGTGTGCTCTTTGCATCTCCCGTATGTATGTGCACGAAACGTCATTTCCTGACGAAAAGAGCGGGGGGGATTATATACAAGCGGCGGATCGTCTCTCCCTGATTTTAAACGCGTACATGTCGTTGTGCATTGTTCGGAGCAGCTCGTATATACACGTTTTCCCACAAAAGATATTATATCAAGGAGCCCAAGAAATTGAGGAGTCGATCGGCAATTGACTGACGTTATCGTCCGCGTGGCATCGCTCGTCGAGAGATTAGGAAGATTGTTGTGTGCCGCGACGCGCGCGCGCGATCCGAAGCAGAGAGAGAGAAAATAGGGCGATTTTACTTTCTATCGATGGGGCGACACGAAGATTGTCTGTTTTGCTTCGATTTTCGAACATAGTAACAAACTTATTTGCATTTTCATCGTAGAACGAAAAATAAGGAAAAATTAAAAACAAGTCAGAGCGCTAGCTTAATAGAAAAGATCAAAATTGATAATGGCTAATAATACGATAAGATAATAAAATAATACCAATTTGAGCCTTTGCCACTAGATGGCGAGTAACTTTTTCTACAAATCTGCAAGTGACAAAGTCAAAATATTGTATAAAAAGGCGTCAGGACTAAAACCAGACCATAACTGTCTATTCGAACCCCATCGTCAAAATTTACCCTCGAGTCGAGTATATCGTGCTGTACGAAAGAAGAGTTACACGAATGTGCTTATTTTCGAATTATCATGACATTTGCCATTTTATAAGCAACCAGATCAAAGAACCAACGCCGCCGCTGCTCGGCATCCGAATTTCCGAAAGGGCTCAATGGTTAATAAACACGAACTTTTCACTCCGTCTCTCTCATCCTCTTTTTTTTTTTTTTGTTCGTTTGTCCGTTTGTCGTTTACGACAATAACGATGCTCCATCCTTTCTTTCGTGCACTTCTTTGCACGGAGCACTCGATACTCGTTTCACCGCAAAACAGCACCCGCGCGCACGGAATATTTATTTTACTATATATATAATCTCGCGAAATGCGCTCAAAGCCACGCACAACAATCGTACGACCGAAAACAAACTTTTTCTTCGACGACCCCCGATGCACGAGATACATCATGTATTATTATTCTACGTTCCTTGTTCTCAAGATTACTTGGTAGTACTACTCCTTCGACGTAGATGTCGCACTCGTTCAGAGACTCAAAACTTCGTACCATAGGGTGCTCTGCTCTCTATCTCGCCACTACCCGTGGCGCGCTACCGTCATTATTCCTTTGTGCGTCGTAGAGTTAAGTCGCAATATTCACGATAAAATGAGCTCCGGATCATCATCCGAGAAAGAGAAACAGCCGAGGAAGCGTAAACGGTCCACAGAGGTCGAAAAGCTTGAGAAAGAAATGGCAGCTATGGCAAAGAAGCTGAGATTGTTGCAACAAAATGACATAATGGCAACAGATGCTGACGAATCAGGTTAGTTCGAATATGTAATCGAATCGCTGCAAAATCTAGCTGAACTCGAACCCAAGTCGAGGCAGAGCTGAAAAATAACCTTCATTACAAGGGATACGATGCTGAACTCGTACATAAGTCGAGGCAAAGCAAGCAAAGTATCATCGCGAATTACGCAATATATGCCAGCTGAGCTCTTGTATAAGCAGAGACATAGCTGAGAGAGACCACCTAAAAAATAGGGGTTATGTAACCTAAAACTACAAGTACATAGACTTGGTGATTAATCGTAACGTGTCTTGGTTCTGTTTTTGCGTAGATGCAACGCAATCCAGCGAGGAAAATCAAAGCCCAAACAAGGTTAAACAGGCCTCAGTCAAAGCAGCTAACGTCAATGAAGAGGAAGTGGCTTCTTGTCTAGGCGAGCTACGCGAAAACAAGACGTCGAACGAATTGGATCTAATCGACGACGTGGCATTAAGAGTGTCAGAATACCTCCGTCTAGGACTGCCTAAGGAGCAGAAGAAGGAAATCTTAGAGCTGATTCCAAGGAAACATAAGGATTTCAATCTCGTAGCGCCTAAAATAAATGCCGAGATTCTGCACTCCATGAAAGAAGAGGCAATAAAACGTGACAATTTTTTTGCACATTACCAAGATATAGCAGCAGCAAATCTGGCTCTATCATCATCGGTTTTAAGCATGGTGTTGAACGACCAAAATGAACCTTTGGAGAGAAGCAACATTTTAAAGGCATTATCAGATGCTGTAAAATTGAATGCAGAGTTATATCGCTGCTTAAACATTGCTCGCAAGATTTACATTACACCTGCATTTGAAAAGAAAGTCAAAGCAGTGTTAGATAAAGCGGAGTCAACAGAGCTGCTATTTGGCGACAAGGTTACAGATTTGATCAGTGGTGTTAAAACAGCTGAAACCCTAAAAAAAGATTTGCTTGGAACGAAGATGACCGGTTCTTTAAACTGGAGAAGTTCTTCGAACAACACAGTGGGCAGTCCGAAGAACCAAACCAAGAAGTCATACTTTGCCCGCAAAGATCAACAAACACCATTCACTCCGAGGCAGAACAGCAACAAGAAGCAAAACTACCGTCGGAATTACACCCAGTCTCAGCCGTTGCAGAAGAAAACATAAATGAGGTAAATATCGCAGGACGACTTGCCCTGTTTTCATCTGAATGGGAATCAATAACCAACAATGACTTTATACTGAATGTTATAAAGGGCTATAAAATACCCTTGATTGGTCAACCGTTTCAAAGACATTTGGTAAAAGAAAAAATAAATTCTGATAGTAATCAGGAAATTGTGAAGTTAGCTATAAAAAAACTGTTAGACATTGGTGCCGTCAAAAAAACTGAGCACCAAGAAGATGAATTTATCTCGACCTTTTTCACTGTGCCAAAGACAGATGGATCACATCGTTTTATCCTTAATTTAAAAAAATTTAATGAATTTGTCCCTACACACCACTTTAAGATGGAGGACTTACGAACTGTGATAAATATATTAGAAAAAGGGGATTATATGTGTAGTATTGATCTCAAAGATGCATACTTTCTAATTCCAGTGTGCAAAGAGTCACAAAAATACTTGAAATTTGTATGGAATGACAATGTTTATCAGTTTTTAGTTCTTCCATTTGGATTATGTACGGCTCCATATATTTACACAAAAATCTTAAAACCAATTATCACGGTTATAAGAAAAAAGGGTATCAGAGTATCAAACTACCTAGACGATTTCTTGATATTTGGAAAAAGCCAGGACGAATGTAAGAGAAATACCAATTATATTGAAAAAATGTTAAAAAAACTCGGGTTCATTATAAATTATAAAAAATCTTGCCTTGAGCCTAAGCAGACATGTAAATACTTGGGATTTATAATAAACTCTGACCTCATGAGAATTGAATTGACAAAAGAAAAGAAAACTTCCATAAAGAATAAAGTCTCACAAGTTCAAAAAAAGAAAAATTGTAATTACGAGGAATTGTTGAGCTTAATTGGAACGCTAGTGAGTGCATGTCCTGCAGTAAAGTATGGATGGCTCTTTTACAAGGAGCTAGAAAGAATTAAATGGAAACTCGGCCCAATAGGCGAATGTAATAACCTTACAAAGGTCGCAATCAATGATAAAGCTTTAAAGGACTTGGAATGGTGGGAAAAACATATCCAAGCATCTTTTAATAACATACGCCAATTCAATTTTAAAAGAGAGATATTTTCAGACGCTTCTATGACAGGCTGGGGTGGAGTTTGTAATAATAAACATATCCATGGTTTTTGGGACGACCAGGAAAAAAACCAGCATATTAATTTCTTAGAGTTACGAGCAGCCTATTTGGTTCTGAAAGAATTCTCAAAATTTGATCAAAATTGTCAAATACTCATTCGAATAGATAACCTTGTGGCAATTTCATATATTAATAAGATGGGTGGAATTAAATACGATTATCTCAATGAAATAACAAGAAAAATCTGGACATGGTGTATGAAACAAAATATATGGTTATTCGCGGAGTACGTGGCGTCAAAAGAAAATCCGGCAGATAAAGATTCTAGAATCAAAAACGCTGATACCGAATGGGAATTATCAAACGAAGCTTTCAATCAAATAGTAAGAAAACTGGGTAAACCCGACATGGATCTTTTTGCCTCTAATGAAAATAAAAAATGCAGCAATTTCTGTTCATGGCAACGAGACCCACAAGCTTACGTTATTAACGCGTTTACAACAAACTGGTCAAGATGGTTTTGGTATGCTTTCCCACCATTCTCCCTTATCGCAAAAGTCCTTAAAAAGATACAGGAAGAACAATGCACCGGAATCATGGTCGTTCCTGCTTGGGAAACGCAACCATGGTACCCTACATTCATGAAAATGTTGATAAAAAAACCAATCTATTTTAAACCATCAGACTCATTATTAATTTCATCCAACAGGAAAGATCACCATCCGCTGGCCAGACAGCTGACGTTGATAGCAGGGACCTTATCAGGCGAGCCTTTGAAAGAAGGGGATATGAGAAATCAACAGTGGACATAATGATCAACTCCTTATCAGAGAGCACACTTAAACAATACACATCAGCCTTAAAGAAATGGACAGAGTTCTGCAAAAAAGAAAGTATAGATTCGTTCTGCAACAAAAGCATAAACATACTAAAATTTTTAACGCAAGAATTGCAAAAAGGAGCTAAATATGGCACTTTAAATTCTATGCGCTCAGCCATATCACTCTTGAACAACAATGAACTTCAAAATTCCAAAGAATTGGAACGATTCTTCAAAGGTGTGTATCGTTTAAGGCCCCCTGCTCCAAAGTACTCAGACACCTGGGATGTAACTCCAGTATTGACAGAATTAAAAAAATGGCATCCGTTAGAATCTCTTTCTTTGGAAAAAATAACATGGAAAGTAACGATGCTACTGGCACTTGGCACTGGATTTCGTGCTCAGAGTATTGCATTAATAAAACTGGATGGAATAAAGGAGAAAAAGGATGGAGTAGAAATTAGAATTCAAGATTTGATTAAAACTTCCAAGGTGGGGAAAAACCAGCCATATGCGCTTATACCCTTCTTTAATGAAAATCCGGAAATTTGTATTGCTAAAACACTCATAGAATACATAAAGATCACCGCAAATTTGCGATCAAATGCAGATAATTTATTGATAACCATTAAGAAACCACACCAAGCTGCTACATCACAAACTATAAGTAGATGGTTGAAGGCGGTCCTACAAGTGTGTAAGGTTGATCCTAAGTATACAGGTCATTCAACCAGACACGCGGCCACGTCTAAAGCGCAAAAAAATGGGCTAAATATTAATATCATAAAGAAAGCAGCAGGTTGGTCCGAAAATTCTTCAGTATTTATGCGATTCTATAACAGACCTATCCTCAATATAAATGAAAATTTTGCTGCAAATGTATGTAATAATAATTAATACTTAAATGTAATAATTAATACTTAAATGTATGTTAATCAATAAAATACTTAAAGTACATAAAATACATTCTCAATATACAAAAGTAATCTTTTCATTAATCTGAAAATCTACCAAGTAATCTTGAGAACAAGGAACGTAGAATAATTGAACAATCAAACGAACTTGTGAAGTTCGATTATGATTATTCAAGTTCCTTGTTCGAAAAGATTACTTTCCCACCCAATTTATTTACCCAAAAATTTGGTAAAAAAATGTATAAATACAACCCAACCCATGAAAATATACTTTAAACTTAATGACGGTAGCGCGCCACGGGTAGTGGCGAGATAGAGAGCAGAGCACCCTATGGTACGAAGTTTTGAGTCTCTGAACGAGTGCGACATCTACGTCGAAGGAGTAGTACTACCAAGTAATCTTTTCGAACAAGGAACTTGAATAATCATAATCGAACTTCACAAGTTCGTTTGATTGTTCAATTATATATACACAACGCGGTATACACAGTCATCCGCTTTTCACGCATAGATTACGTGTATACTGTCTTTTTCCGCGGCGCTTAATCGCATCGTCGTTATTATTATATACACAAACGGAAAAAAGGAAAAGACTCCTCGAGTCTCTCTCTCTCTTTCTTTCTTCTGCGCGCGCGGGCAAAGTATAAGTAGTTCCGTTCTCAGCGCTGCGCGCCGCGCGAGATTTTTACGCTCTCCTTCATTTATCGATATGCTTTATTTATTTTTTTTTTCATTGCGCTGCCCTCTAAGCTGCAGCTTCCTTTTTGGTCCATATAATATATAATTCCTAATCCTCGGGTACGTACCACGTATATAATAATGTTTCGAACGCATTGTACATTATATCCCAACGTATACGCGCACATAATATAACGTATAGTCAATCGTGGCCGCAGATCGTTCGAGTGCATTATAAATACCCCAACGACGTATTTATCTATCTTCGACGGATACGCATAATGCCGAGAATGGGCCATTGTAGGGTATTTAGCCACGTTTTTGTATCGGGCGGTCAACGCATTATATTGGCCCTATTGCGACGATAATCAGCTTATATATTGACGGAATACCTACGGTTGCACATGTAAATGCTTTTTTATATACACAAGTAGCGAGCGCTAAGTATATATTTATTATAATCTCGAAAAAATGGCCAAGAATGCGTTCGGAATTTTTTTACTCTTTCAATTTCATTGAGATGTCGTCCGCGACGGTTCAATCAACCACGAGAATCAGCACAATGGGTAAAATTGGACATGCTACGACATTGTTTGACACGAATCGTCGTATTTTTTTTTTGTTCGCAAGAAGGAACAAACATGTACCAGCGGATAATGATGGATCGTTGTTATGCTCGACGTATTTTATTTTATTTATCAACAATCCCTAACGAATCGCAATCAATTGCATTGCCAATCGCGTGGAAAATTACGGACACATGTGCGAATAAATATATATCTAATGTATTCGCGCAGCAATAAAAATAATACACATATATACGCATAACTCGTAAATTTGCATACACGGCGTAAATCAGACCAGCTGTTGCAATTCGCTCGCACACATACACACACGTATACAGGTTCGATTTCGTATCGATTTCACTGCATATTTCGCGCGCGAGCGAATATATTTATAACTCATATTCATACGTACATGTATATATCTGCCATTGCAACCGACTTTCACGCTACATTTAAATATCAATCTAACTCGTACTACGCATTCATATACGTATACACGCACGATAGGCGGAAAAAATCGTTTCGCACGCTTGTTCGGATACATACGCGGTGCGTCCATTACGAGACGAGCGTAATCGCTTTTCGATACCCGAGTGAAAAGAGCGAGTGTAAGAGAGAGAAAAAAAAATCAATAATATACAGATTAAAAAAGCACAAACTCTCTATTGCACGAGGCGTCGAATATTATTGAATTCACGCCCAAATCACGCCCTTTCGGTATTGGCGCGCACAGGGTTACGTGTATACGCACATCGGAGCACGGGACGTTAATATTTTTCTTCTTCTTCTTTTCTTGTATTATTATGAGCGAGGAGGCCCCGCGCACAACCCAGAGAGAGAGAGAGAGAGAGAAGAATCGAAAAAATTATATTATAATGTTCGAGCTGGCATCATAATGCCTGCGGATAAAAGGAGTAATAATGACGGATATTAATATTCACGTCAACGTTTTTTTTTGCAAGCCATTATTCCGGTACAGGCTAAATAATAATTTTTTTTTTTCAACTCGAGCCATATGTGAAAAACTTTTCCGAAAAAATCCATGTAAAATAGTAGTAGCGCCAAGGCCGTAAAATATTGTACAAAGCGGAGACGACGACTAGAGCACGTAAAAAGGGGAAGAAGAAGAAGATCGCGTGGCTGCTATATTCTCTCCATATACACATGTGTCTGCTGTAGTAGCGGCGACATCATCGTAGCAATTTAACGCGAGCGAGAAGAGGAGCTGCAGTTTATGTATAAATGTATGGTGTCCGTGTGTGTGTGTGTGTGTGTGTGCCGCATTTAAGAAGCCGCACACGTACGGGATTAAGAAGACGAGTGGCGCTCGACGCACACAAGTTGCTGTTTATACGTACACGGCTGACGATTCGTGTTGGCCAATTTTTCATTTGTCGTATCGCTTTTATCAACGAGTATCGCGACTCGTTTTTAATTCCGAAAATGAAAGAAAGAAATCATAGATTCGTATAATTAATCGGATGGATAGATATTGCGGCAATATCTTGTCGTGGTGGTGATAGTTATTGCCGTTTTTTCATTCAAGAGATGGTAGTTATTGCCGTTTTTTCACCCCGTCTTATACGACTATTTTGACTTGGCTACTTGCAGATTTACAGAAATAAATATACTCGCCATCTAGTGGTAAGAAATCGATGTAATATTATCGTATTTGAATTTCAAAATTGGCATAAATTTGATAAAACATTTTCATTTTTATGTAAGTCTAAATGTGCTCAATATTTATCCATCTTAATAATAAACAATGAAACCGAACGTGTACGAATTTCGACCACATAATTGTCGGCTTATCCACGATACGCGGCTTACGATAACTGATTCTAATCACTTTTCAACCTCGCGACTCGTATTATCGATGTTATATCGATTCATCATCAATTTTTCGTCATCGATACAGTAAATTACGGCATCCACCCATATTTTCTTTCTTTTTTTCTCTTCGATCGATTCACCGGGTCTCAAAAAAAATCTCGCAGCTTTTACTAAACGCCTATACACATACACGTAATTCTCCTGGATATATCATATATATAGTACATACGTCGCACACGCGCTCGTGCGTGCATCTTATTACGTAACACGGGCATGTGCGCATCCAACGATCATAACGAGAGAGCAAAAGCGTGAAACGATCGCGATACAATATAAAGACCACAGGAATATATTAAACGTTATAACCAATTCTGCCGTCAAGGCACACACACAGACAGGGTTATCTACCTATACGCTATAATAAAGTGACGGCAACGCACGAGCCAATACGCTTCCTGGCACGAGGCTGCCTCGTTTCTCATTCAAATTATGCAGCCTGTAATGTGCAGAGTCCTCCTCATGTGTATGTTATATATATATATACCTCGGGCGCGCGCGAGTGGCTCACTCGCAGCCTACAATAGTGATTTTCAAGGCGATGTCTTTTGCGTATAGTGGCAGTGGTAGCAAGATATAGTTCGAAATCCCCTCGCGCGAGGAGAAAATTGCATCTATATACGTATATATGACACTCGGTAACGGTCGATCGCAAATTATTATTCATGAATAAATAATAATGTATATAGAGATCACGATCATCGCATTCGAAGACGACGAAGAAGACGACGACTCTCGCCTTTTGTGCAGCAGCATAGCAAGTGCACCAACACACACACACACACACACACATGCGCGCATCGCGTACACCTCTTTACCGGTGACATATGTCGTGTAGGGCCATTTGCATGCCGCTTATATATATAAATGACGTGTATGCGTATTGTGCAGCTCGTATACGTGTCATTGATTCCTTTTTTATGCTGCTGCTTGCCTTCTAAAGTGCTACTACTCTGCATATGCTTAGCTGTTGCTGTAATGCAGCTTTCAATTTTTCAACGTGCGATTAATTTTTCAGCCAGCTCGAGGTTCGAGATTTTGTTGTTGTTGTTTTTTTTTTATCCTTACTTCCTTGTATATATAACTCTACAATATGACAATTTGTCTCGCGGCAGCACATATAGACACATCAGTGTCAATTGATCCGCTCCATTCTATGTGTATAAAATGAGACACAGAAAGAGAGAGAGAGCGGATATATAGTGTGTACTCTTTGGCCGAAAATATCACATAATGCAAAGCAATAGCACCTACGCTATTGTGCGTGTGTACCTATACACACCACTGCTGTTGGTGCGGCTGAAAAATGAAGCATCTTAAGTTCTCGTATAAAAGGAGAGAATCATCACGCAAAAGGTGTCTACGATACAATCGTCCACAATGCTGGAGGAGCGCGTCAAAGTTAAATCGCATTCAGTGTATGTACCCACACACACAAAGATGTAATGGCGCGAAAAAAAGACGACGACGACGACTCGCAGTCTAGCGCGAGCTGCTGTTTATATATTATGTGTATAATTTTTCGAGGATATACACGTAAAAGCGTACATATATATATACGCTTGACGACGGGGGGGCGTGCTCGAACTTCTTCCTGTTTCCCAGATATGTGTATATGTATGCACATTATGTATTGTGTGTATGTGTGTGTAAGACGCCGCCGATGCACCGCGAAGAAATCTTTTTTTTTTCTCTCAGCTCTTCCTTTCAAGAACGAAGAAAAAAGAAGAAAGAAAGAATGAGAAAAGGTGAAATTTTTCCTTGTTCTTTTGCGCTTGGGCATTTTTCGCTTCTTGTATCCGTGGCTTTTGTGCCGTTATTGTGATGATTTGCGCACGAGCTTCCAGATTTTTTTGTACGCTCGGACGCATATTGTATGCGTTACTCGATGCGACGAAGCGCCGCCGCCCCCGTGTCTCGATGTACCGTACATAATGA